GGTGCATCCTGACACTTAATTGTTGACAAAACCTCTGAAAACAACAGTCGGAGGTGATTCATCTCCAGTCCTTTTATGTGTCAATCATTTGTTGTCCACTTTTCAGCTTTTCAACAGTAAAGTTAGGAAAGATGACTGAATGTTAGCCCATGAGTATGCTGTTGGACGTCACAATCTTCAAAGTCTCGCTTACTCAGGTGACCAAAGCCTGCCCTTTCAGTCTTTGTTTATTAATCTTCCTGTTTTAGAATCTGCAAATCTGTCTCACTTAATAATTTATACAAGAATGCAGGTAGTGGATTTAAATGTGTTGGGACTTAGATATGTCATAAAGGCATTGCATCAAAACCATAAATGCATAGCACAAAGTTCTTTTCTCTTCTGAATAGTAGCACAAGGGAAGGTAATAAGGAAAATTATATACCATTGTATATTAAAGGAAGTTTTAGAGAAAGTATCTTGTTATTTTTAGACTTTGGTGTTAGAATTGAAGCAGCTTTCTATTATCCTGTATAACTGGTGTTTGTGGTAGTTTGTGGTAGTTGTTCTAATGTATGCTCAGGACTTTAGCTGCTGAACTTTTTTCTTATTCATTTCAATGTGTGCTTTAAAACCTGCATTTCCTTTGTTGTATAAATACAGAGCAGTGAAAAACACAGATCTAATTCTCTGGGCAGGAGTAGCATAGCATAATGTTCCTTTGTTTTCAAGTTTCTGGGATGAAGTCAGGCATTTTTTAATTGAATTACTTTACTTTCATTTCTTGTCTGTTTGATTTTTCTCATTCATATTTCTCATGCATTTTTTTCATTCCTGCCTGTACTGTCAGGTTGAGTAAGAGTGTTGCAGATGTTTTTGATAAGATATTAATTCAGTCTTCATATCCACCAGTGAAAGAAGCAACACACAGGAAATTCATACACTTCTGTTTATTTGCAAAAGATGACATTGGGCTCTGTAAAGGCTGCTTGATGTTAGTTGCAATAACATAGCACTGATTATAGAAAGTCTTGATAAAAAAGGTTTTCTGAGAACCGTATTCAGTCCATGTATTTGCATTTTCGAGAAAATTGTGTTAGGGTAAACAGATGATGATTTTCTGTTAGTAAAAAATAAACAGATGTAAGCAGTGTTCCACCCTACCATTCATAATTTAACATTCTTTGCATTAAAATACATTTCATTATTTTGAAGTAAAAAATTAAAAAGCACAGGATCCAATGATGTCATGTACAGCAGACAGAAATTGCTGCTTGTAGCTTAGAACATTGGATGTCTCAAACATTTAGCAGTGTTTATTTCAGAATCACTGAATATACGGTGTATTTTGAGTTTCTGTTTTCTCGGATTGGAATGTAAGACTTTGTTACAGTGTATTGCAGCTGCTGTTCTTGCAGTGAAGAGTTTTAGTCTAAAATACAACAGAAAACATATAGAAGAAAAAGTGAAATTTAACCTGAAGCTTTGTTGACAAGATTATGCTTGATATATTTTTATACTGTAAGACCCTGTAGGGCTGACAAATGTGAAATAATGTGAGCTTCCTGCAATACCAAATATCTGTGGTTTAAAATGTTCAAAGGCCAACATTTACATTTCCTCCGCTTTTACACAGCTCATACACTGCTGTAATTATAGTAACAACAATGGTAACTACGTTATAGGATGAAAGGATCAGAGCAGTGTTTTATGAAAAACAAGCTGTGGAACAGAAAAGTCACCTTGCAGAACAATAGCAAGAATGATCTCTCCGTACATAAGAGATAAAAGTTTCTCACAGCACAATGAAAAACTTCAGCTGGCTTAATCCCTGAGAGTAGAGTCTTGAGCTGCCTGTGAATGGATATCCAGACATCTTGAAGTTAACAAGCACTGAAACACCCCAGGATATGAGCGTGACGGGGGGCACTACCTATGGATTACAGTGCTGCTTGTAATCCCGTCACAGGAAGTAGCCTGATGAGCCCATCGTGTGAGGAAAGCAGCAGGAACATTAATTAGATAGAGGGAGATGTGTCCAGAAACAGGCATTCATGGGAGAGAGATCAAACACAGAGCACCTGCAGTTATGCTCTGCTCATTGAAACAGTGCAATTTATACACACATGGACCATAGAGAATAAATTGAGAGGCAGAGCACCTTATCAAAGGGAGGGATTTAGAAAGGTTACTAATGCGTGTAACTAAAGCTGGTAACATGAGTGCAGTAAAACATGCTGGGAAGCCGTATGGAGAGCCACAGAGGGAGATGAGAGATTTCCCCCAGTTTAGAAAAACAACTGTTTTAACAGTGATCATTACATCTGTAGAAAACTGTGCATTTGATGTTCGTACATAATTGTTGCAGTTAATATGCAACATGTTCAGACTCTTGCTGCACGGTTTTCTAATAAACTTGAACTAATATCTTATAGCCTTCAACTCTGATGGCCTTTATGTATATGTATCTAACTCATCTAGAAATGTGTTAAGAATGGTTTGTGCTGAGTTCTTAATAAAGTGCATCTGGATAGATCTGAAAAAAAATTGTGAAGTCAAAATTCCCCAAGTTTCTCAATAACAAGCATGTGGCAGTCCCCTAGCCTGCCTATATTTCTTATCTCTATGCCTGAGATTTCTTTGAAAAGCTGAAAATATCTATATTTAATTGAATGTTGGCATAGAGGAATTTCTCAATGTTCGGTTAAACTCCACGAGCTCCACCTTTGCATCTGTGGACAGACCAGGTCCCTACTGGGAAGAACATCTGATGCTCTAGGTATGTGTGGCCTAGTTCCTTTTTAGAATTATTTATATTTTTAATAACTCTGTCACTATAGAATTCATTAACCTGTTCATTGTAATTACTTCATTGTTATATGGAATAGTGCAGTATTCTACACATGTAATACTTCATAGAAATGTACAGTGCTTTACAGGACTTTTTGAAATTTAAAACACCTATTGGGGAATTAAAATATATATTTAAGCCACTCTGATTAAGTCCTCTTAGACTTAATCACAATTTTTCCTTCCTCTTCCTTGACAGCTTTAAAAAGCTGCACATATATCTGAACCAAACTGAAGCTAATTCTGTGTGTGCTTTTGTAGTAAAAATGTTAGAATGTATGCACAGAGCTGAGGTGCAGATATAATTCTAGGTATACAGTATATGTGGATATCTGCAGATTCAACATTGACAAGTCTTTTCTAGAAAATAAGGATACAAAGTGATGTAGAAGACAAGGACAGTATATAGTTAAATAGGTAACTGAAGATTTTAACTCTTTTCATTTTGGGGCGTTTAACCGGAGCTGTCTTCCCTTCTGGTGCCGAATTTCAGCCGCAGCAGACTAACAGTGGTATTCTTCTTTATAGAGAAGTGTAACTGCAGATTCTGGAGTCCAGAATGAAAAGCTGTTTTCATGAGCAGTCATTAAAAATTAAATGCGATGGGGCTGACAGTCGAGGGCTCCTGGCCACCTGCAGTGGGGTTGTACATGTAAAGCCTATCATGGTGTATTCTGCTTTAAATAAATAAAAGGCTGTGGGATCAGGTGAATTGGAAGCTAACGTACAGTAAGTAATGTGATTGCCATGGAAGTCTTTAGTGAGCCGGTCTCTGTAGGGTGTGTCCAGGACCTGCTAGCTATTTAATCCTTTGTTTGAACAACAAAGGACTATCATCTGACAAGGTCCATGGTAGCATTTTCAAAACAGACTTTTTTGTTTCTAACCTAAAAAAGTGAGTCTTTTAATATTAAAAAAATAAATAAAATGATAATTTTTATGTTTATAATATGCTCCCCATCGCAAAGTAGCAAACAAAATCACATTTTAGCATCTCACAGCCTTTTTTAAACCTTGCCCAATGAAAAGGTCAGTTAAGACGTCTGTATTCGGTGTCACGGGAGTTATATTGATTTGAAAAAATAACTTGTTAAGTTTGCTCCAGGTATGGAAAGACTGCTGAATGATTGCTGCTTAAAGGTCCTTTAAAGATGCACAAATGAGAGGATATAGGCATAAAAATAATTTCTTGCATTGAGACAAGTTCTTCATTGTGAGGCTCAGGAGATCCATTATTGTCAAATGTAAATGATAATTGTGTTTTTTAGTAAAAATACAAATTATTGTACCAAAGAAGACTGCTGTCTCTAGTTATGGACTGCCCAGGCTCTAATTTAAGTAACTAAAAATGATGTCCTTCGGTGGACATAGAAATACATCTGAAAAAATACATACTGTATAAGCTTGATAGCAAAGAAGCAAATATATTATCTGTGATATAATTTTTTGCCTGTACTGTCGACCAACCTAAAAAAGCAGTAGCATAGACTGCTTCTTTCTGAATTGAATAACAGTATTGTTTGAGCCTGAGTTAACCTGTGTGACCTAGAAATTGTGAAAATTTCAAAACAGAATCAGGTTGTTATACCTGATTAATTCATTAATGAGGTTAATGTCTCATTACATCAATGCAGTTTCTTGGAAAATGTAATTAAAAAAATACATGATTTTTGTACAGTATAATTTGTATGTATATGTATATAGATATATATATATGCTCACATTCTTCAATGCTCACACCTGAAGAAGGCTCCACGACCGAAACGTTATGTTCTCTTTCTTCTTTTTTTCAGCATGGAATAAACCTATTACTTGTTCCTTTGCAGCCTACGCATACTGACGCAGCTACCCACCTGAACTACTATGTATATAGATGTATGCTTTGATCAAAATGTGCCAAGAGAAACATTAGGAATGTATTTATGTATTTTTGTAATACATGTATTTTTGTTCATCTGTTTCTGCAGCTCAGATGGTGCAAGCCAATACCAAAGGGGAGCTGGTTACAAGACCACTTCTGTGAGCAGTGCTGGTAATGTGGAGATGAAGAAGCACTTATTTGTTGAATACCATGATCACATTGTAAAGACGGTTTCGAGTGCCTTCACCCCCTTCCCCTTTCCTCTCACCCCTGACCCTGTTCCCTCCCCACTGCAGTAGTGGCTGATGTAATGCATGTTATGAATAGCTTGTCCCTGGTCAATGAGAAAGAAGGCCACCATGGTGACACCCCTGATGTTGGATTAATGCCTGGACACCCTCCTGTGACCACATCGATCTCCGAGTCTACCCCAGGAGCGCCACCACCACCCCCCCCCCCCCCCCCCTGAGGGGAGCCCTGCTCATGGCCTGCGCAAGAAGAGACGCGTGCGGAGCTTCTTCTGGAAAACCATCCCCGAAGAGAAGGTGCGCGGCAAACCCAACATCTGGACTTTGGCAGCCCGGCAGCAGCAGTACCAGATCGATGTCAGGACCATCGAGGAGCTGTTTGGGCAGCAGGAGGAGGCCCGGTCCACAGCGGCCAGGGATGGCCACACTGCAGGCAGCTCCAGGACGGCCTTCATGGAGCCCAAGGAGGAGGTGAGAAACGAGGCAGGCAGTGCAGAGGGCACTCATGGAAGTGAGGCCAGTGCAAGACTTTCTCTGACAGTAAGGCAGTTCAGGTATTGGGTTTTTAGCTTGTGTTTGGCAGGTTGTCTGATAATGTAGCCTTTTTTGAAGTATGGAAGATCATACTTCTTTTAATATTTCAGTGTACACAAAAATAAAAGCCCTTTCAGCACCTATTTCAAGGAAAATGTACTTGGCTAAATTTAGGGACGCTCTTACTCATATATTCCAATGTAAACAAAAACAAAACCCCTTTTTTATTCCTATTGCAAGCACAGCATGATGGGCTGGGCTGAATTTTGTTTGTTCCTAGGCTGCTATTTAGCATATGTTTGCATCAGAACAACCTCCTTTGATTGTGCAGCTATCGTCTGACTGGTAGAAGCAAGGTGAAGCTGGTATCATTTTGTGACTCTCCAGCTTCCTGGAAGGACATTCTAATGAGTCACCTTTCAACGTCATCTTAAAGCTCTCCTGAGTATACAAGGCTGCCATGGCTGTGACTTAGCAGGGATGGAAACTAACTCTTAATTCTGCTGTGATTCAGGAGGCTTTTTTTACCACTTCTGATGCCTTGATATATTCTAATTATATTACTGAGGAAACAAATTATGGTTGACGAACAAAACAAATGTGTTGAATCTGTGTATGTTGTGGAAGGCTGTGTCACTTGTCCCCTACCTTTCTGTTCTGTTCACAGTGGGGACTAGAAATGATAGTGGTGTTTGCATGATATTTACATAGACTTATAAGGTTTGTAGAACAGGTCTCCCCACGACCACCACCAGTGTGCAGCCCCACCTGGGTGATGCAACAGCAGCCATAGTGCACCTGTACACTCACCACACATCAGCTATCAATGGGGAGGAGAAAAGAATAATGAAGCCAGTCCTTAGGTGGGGATTACTGGGAGGCCATGATAAATAAAGGCCTTATCAAGAAACGCCCTGGGATTTTTAATGACCACAGAGAGTCAGGACCTCAGTTTTACATTTTATCCAAAGGACAGCTCCTTTTACAGTGTACAGTATAGCCATTTGTATTGGGGCATTAGGACCCACATAGACCACAGGATGAGTGCCCCCCTGCTGGCCCCACTAACTTTCAGCAGCAACTTTAGTTTTTCCCAGGAGGTCTCACATCCAGGTACTGACCAGGCTCACATCTGCTTAGCTTCAGTGGATTGACAGTTGTGAGTTCCAGGGTGATATTGTATTCGGACTTTCTTTTGTCTGCACCACATGAACACTTTCAACTTTTAAAACAAGACAAGTCCTTTCTTGGACATTGCAATTGTTAATGATGTATCATGTGTGTGTGCCCCTTATAGAATTCCATCTCATTCTCTGACACAATACATCATCAATAAAACCTGTTCTGCATTCACAAATGTAGGAATGGCCATGATCCAGTTTCACTGAATACTGACTATTGACTCTCTGTCAGAAAAGGAAAAACTGCTTAATTAACCGTATCAAAATCCCTTAAATCTGTCTAGATAGTCTGCATGGCTATTAGCCACAGTGTTGACAATAAATTCTTATTGAAAAAAGTGCTGCAGAAAACACTTCTTTCTTGAAACAGGAAGGTAAAACAATTAATATCTCTGTTTTAAACATAAACAAAATTCTTTTTTTAGGTCAGTATTCTGGACTCCAAGAGAAGCATGAATGTGGGCATTTTCCTCAAACAGTTAAAAAAGTAAGTTTTCCTACGCACATTCCGATGAGCATATAAAATCAAGATCAAAAGAATAAAAACACACAACATGGCTGTAAAACCTTAGTGCAAATTACTCTTGCAGAGTGGTCTGAATAGATATACTGTACATGGAAAGATGCACTGCAGACTCAGCTCATGAATAGTTTGCATGATGGTTCAACAGTGAGAATACTCTGGAGTACCTTCAGCAAATTCTGTTTGTGTAGTGGGTTTCAAAAGAAATATTATTGTTTTGCACGACTCCACCCTTGTTCAGTTAACTTGAAAAACACCGGTAGTAGTATCTCTTTTATTCCGTCTTCTTTTGGTTGGCCTAAGAACTGTGTAACATTGTAACAATGACTGTTGGACATTAGGTGTGCTTTCTGGTGTGTCTACCTTTCAAATATCTATTTGTTGACTGGGGAATTGTGTGAATTGGGGTTTACTGTGAGTTAGGAATGAACAGTATCTTAACAGCAGAAATAAAATGTTAATCAGTCCCAAAGCGGCCTACTTTCAAATTTACAATTCTTTTATGGGGACCTAGCTGGATAAAAAGTCAGGCAACCGAAATAAAAGACAAAGTGTTTTCCAGTGTATACATTTATAAATTCACAACAACTAGCAGCAATATTTCAGTTCAATTGCAAGAAAAAATGATAAAGTTGATGTATGTTTTTTTGCTGATGTTAAAGTATTTCTGTTGAAGCTTGGCTCATTTAATTTCATTTTCTCTGTTTCCAGCTATTTTATATTCATGTGATAAATTACTTACTGGCTTTTTAGAATTCAGATTGTCAACTAATAAAGTTACTCTATTGATATTTGAGGGCAGTCATACAAACCTATCTTAGCGTTGGAGCTGGGACAGGCATCTTTTCTTGGCAGATGTGCCTAACTCATTTATAAAATTGTGGATCAGACAGATCCATGACCAGCAAGGCAGAGGTGTGGAGTAGCTCTTAGCACTCCAGACTTGAGACTGGAGCACCATGAGCTCACATCCTAGACAAGAAGGTGCTGTTGTACAGTATATATACATGCAGCTTATATATACAAATATGTATTTTATAGAATAGATAATCACATTATAAATGACTGTTTTTAATTGACTGAGCTAATTGAAGAATTAAATTATAAAAAAACTTTATGCACTTTTTCACTACATTCTGGTGTCTGTGTCTCAAGGTTTTTTTGCTGAAGAAAACCTGAAACAATGTCTTCTTAGCTGGGAGTTGTTAATCCTGTCTGCGGAAAGGATCGCTGGGTGACAGCTCTGGTGACAAATTGGTCTGTCAAACATTGATCAGCGTAGGAGTGGTATGAACCTGTCTCATTCTCCATTATTCAGCAGTATTCGGTCAGAAAGGATTTGATGATATATTGGTATCATAACTGAGGTTTAGCTCTTCCATAGCCATGTTTATACCATGACCTTTATTCAGGGCATTAAAGATAAAAAACAATGTACGTAATCAATAATAAGCAAAACAGTATCATAACAGGGGAATGAAGTGTCTCCTGGTGAAGACAAGGTGGATAAAATTGGGTTTATTCTCACCTGACTGACACAAGAAACCTTTATTATACACCTTCCAAAAAAAGCTGCACATTCTGCCGATAGAGAATATTAACTCCTAATTAAAAAATCAGCACAGTAGCTGACATCCTAACATAAGAAGTTCAAAAAGGAATGTCAGCTTGTGTAGGGTTCAAAGGAACAAGTAAAGGTTTATTCCATGCTGTAAAGAAAAGAGACATAGCCTGAAGAGGGCTCCACAGCTGAAAAGGTCGTGTCTCTTTTCTTTTCAGCATGGAATAAACCTTTACTTGTTGCTTTGTATCCTAACATAAGCCTACAATACTGTACTGATACAGTGTCATTGTCTCACCTCTGATGTTCTCAGTGGACGGAGAGGTGATGGATGGACCGATGAGATTTTTCAATGCATGCAGTTATAGCCCGTATGGTACAGGTTCCTTTTTCTCACAGAGAAAGAACGTTGTGTGCTTTTGCTTTGTGTGCTGTATGTGTGCATTCTGACACACGTTTGCTTAGGATTCTTTCACTTCTCTGATAGGGACAAAGGATCATTCGTAATTAGTCTAGTCTTGGACTTTTGTCGGGCTCCTATTTCTCTTTTTTTATTTGAATAGATAGTAAATGTATGGGCACAGAAAATGTAATCGCTTATGGCGATGTTTGTCAAATGGGCTGTTTGTACTGGGTGGAACTCCCAGCCTCACAACGGTAAATAAGTTTTGTGATATTAAAGTTTTGTAATCACTTGCATAATACAAACTAAACACGAATAGTATCTTACTTAAATACTGTAATAAGAACTTGCAAAAAATACATGTTTTACATTAAATACAGTGACATAATGTACAATGTACTACTTCTTGCAAATTGATTATACTTGAAACACTCAATAGTAGTCACATGGTCACTGTGAGTTTTGGATCAACAATGTAGCATAAAAAAACAAATCAGGTCAGTGTTGCTCCTTTCTTCCCTGTTTGATCTGAAGCATGATTTTAGTCCTATTTCTTTATAAAGGCTACACTCATTAACTGTTTTCACATTGGTCCTCAATGAAACAAAAATTACCGTGCGTGTTTTTTAATACAGTATAAGACAGTCGAGTTCACTGTAGTGCAGTTTGTCATTGGACATTTGCATTTTGACTGGAGGTGGGTATTATCCTGGTTTCAGAGCAGGTTTGCGTAGTAATCAACTATTTACATAACATTCACATGAGGTTTTTTACAAACATGCACTGAAGCTGGAAAATTGTTTCATGAGCCTTGAGTGTAAGTCCAAAGAGCAGATTTTCTTTCCATATCTAACTTTGTGAGTCCTTAATAGTCAGGACCGCCATTAACAGCAACAGAAACTCCTCCAAGAAATATTTCAGATAGTTATGGATTTAAGGAACAGCTACAATTGTGAATTAGCAGTATTCTTAGTACCCATTCTAAGATATTCTAATTCTAACTACTGTTGTACTATGATGAGCTGGTAATAGTAGCCATTAAGCCTAGTTTTGACATAATAACACCGTATTATTTGTTATTTTTCTTAACTGATTAACTCTACCAAATTATCTGATGCATTTTTTCATTTAGGGAGCAAGCAACAGATTTGTTGGAACCCTATCATTTTTTGGCTAATTATTTTGCTCTGGTGCATTTTTCTAACACCTATGAAATCCAGCCCAAATGTGATTTGTCAGGTTTGTAAAAAGCTTCTGGGAAATTGTATTAGAGTGAAAATGAAGCCGCAGGTCACATGCTTTTGTCTCTATATTGAAATTTACACACATTTTCAAGACTTTTCTGAAAGTGGACATTATAAAGGTTTGAAACTTTGTGGGCCATGCCGTGTCATGTCCATGACACAATTTTATTCATGTCAAGATGCCATCCCAGAACTGGTGACAAACACTTGAACGTTTCTGAAGAAACTGTTACTTAGAATGAATTGAAACATGGTATATACAGTGAAGATTGTGTCATCAGATAATTTTGTTACACAGTGTGGGTCTCATATCATAGGATTTAAGGAATTTCAGAGTTTTAAAATTTTTACTGAAACCAGTGAAAGCAAAGCACTGATGCTCAGTGTTAACTCCTCTCCAAGATTTAGTCTTGTCCAGGACAGATTGGTGGGTCACATGGTTTATTCGATTGGAATGAATCTATTTCATATACCGTACATCAACTAGAACAGTTCTGTTGCAAAGTCTTTCCACTTGCGCTGCACATATCTGTACAAATGTTGCAACATATCTTCAGTAGAATTTTTAAGCTTGTGAATGATCCCATAGATATAGCAGCCTGTGGGAATTATAGTTCACAACTGAATACAGTTTATTGGTCACATGATTTGTGAACCATATAAGACCTTTGACCTTTTCTTCTGGGCAAGTGAAGAATCAGCTAAGGACTCTATAATGAGTCTAGACAGTTTCATGGTTACAACAGAACACACATAAGAATCCTTATATACTTGAGAAACAAACACCACCTGGCGTATAGCGGTTCTCACATCTTGTGCTTCTTTGGGACGTGTCTAAGTGTCATTAAAAGATCATTTGGCAAATATCCTGATAAATAGTCTGTATCCAGATATGCCTTTTTCAGCCTGTATCAACCTGAGAAGGTTCTACAGAATAAACTCTTCTTCCCAGTTATTGGGAGATAATTATAACTGATCCACACAACAGAAGCAATTATGCAGAAAGTTCTGTTCACTCTGTGAACGCATGTGTCCGCCACTTAATGCTGATATTTTGTTTTATAGTCAGTCATAGTCAGTCAGCAGCAGATATAAATGGTAGAATATGGGCAAAGCCTTGTGAAAAGTCATTTGATTCACGGTCTGGAAGGAGATTGAATGGGCGGTTAGGTAATGTCTAATGTATACTACTGAACTTTCTGATTTATAGGTCTAATGAGTCAATCATTGAAGACATTCGACTTGGCAGCAGCAAGCTGTATGGGTCTGAAAAATTGAAAGAGTTGCTGAAACTGTTGCCCGAGTCAGAAGAGGTGAGTGCAAAGCAGACAATTCAGGATAAATAGTTTCAATAAATTTCATGAGATAGAAAATAGTACAGTTGTAAAGATTTTAAGGTTTTACAGGATGTCCACTTAAAACAAATGGCAAAGATATGCATTTAAAGGCACTTGAATATAAAGGTGATTTTCGTATACTCCAAATAAAAATGGTTTCGAAATATTGGAAATGCATTCTAAGTTAAATGGTAGTTACAGAAAAAATAGATACAATTTGGCACCACACCAGTCCATTTAGTTGGAAGTTAACTGAAGATTAACCACCACCACCGTCTTTCCTTCACTCCTCCAGCAAAGGGAGACTTGAATTCTTCTTGATGAGTGATTAACAAATGGAACTGGCTGTACAGTAAATGGAGTTTACTGTACATGTTTCATTAAATTCAATAAATTATTGTACCGTCACACAAACTTCAGCTGCTCGTGAAACATACATATCACACCACACTCTTATTGGTTATGCGCTTGCACACCATTTTCATTGCAATTTTCCTTTAGCACAGATAGTAACGGGATGTGTAACTACACTGAGTGTGCTGGAAGGATCTCTGCTTGGCCTGTGTGCAAGTCACAGACAGACAGTCAAACATTCTGCATTTAAATAGGTATATCTGGAGTAATTAAAATAATGGCCAGGGCAAAGAGTACTATTGGAAGCAGCACTAATAGGAGCAGCACTAAGCAAAAGTACTTTCTGTACCTTACTTTCTGGGCTGGTTAGTTTTTTAATTATAAAATAAAAAGACAATAATGAAAAAGCCCACTGAGTCAGACAACTATTGATGTTTCAATAATTGGATAGTTTGCTGGAGAACTGGAGTTTATTTGCAAACTCATTCATTTTTCCTTTAAATCTGTGTGTGAACTGGAAGAGGAATGAATTATTGCACAGCCTGTGTGGCCAGTAGGAAAAATGATGCTGAACATGCATGTGTACTTGTCTCAGAGCCCAAGGTCCTGCACATTATCCACATCTCATATTTTCAGTGGTTCAAGTCTGGTGATTAAGGGCATCGACAACATAAAAGAACGTTTTTCTCCCTATTTTGCAAAGAAAGCCGGTCTTACACAAGCAGCATGAGGACACTCGTTGTCCTGCTTAACTTTTGTTACATCAGGACAAGTCTACAAGAAGTGCAAATGTTGGGGCCAAGGACAAATGTATCACCATGTGGATAGGTAGTCATCAGTCACTACAAATTCAGGTCTGTGATGACTAAACATCACAGACTAGAATGTCACTAGAATGACCTCCTTGTCGATTGGTCTGTTCAGCACACAAATTGACATATTCTGCAGGTCTGTGGCACACAGACTGACGTCTGTCAGTGTAGTCTACATCAAACCTTGATTCTTCTCTAAAGAGGGCTTGGTTCCACTTCTGAGGTTATTTAGACCAGGTTATTTAGACCAGGCTCCAGCATAACGATGACATGAAGGTTTTGTTCCTCTAAAAAGCGGGGCTTATTGCTTCCCTTTTATGTTTTTTTTCCTTGATCACCCACTCCTCTCATCACCTGAACCCAATTCACTTCCTTACTAATGAAGGGATTTAGCGCTTATGCAGCAGAGTCACGTTATGGTATCACGGTTAGTCATGAATGATCAGTTAATAAAAGTGATGCCAAAAACATTCGAATAAAATCCAAAATACAGATTTTTTTTTCGAACATGTACTGTACATGCATAAATAACGCAGCTACGTTTTATATGCTTACTGCTTTACACTGTTATACTTACATGGCTTGATATTTAAAATACCTACTGCAGTCGAGAGGCAAAGTCGTGATGAAAATGGGTGGTCTTAGAATTGATCTTACACGGGGGAAGTTGGGAATTAGTGCTTCTCTGTTTCAATTGAACACCGACTATTAGTTCCACAACAGAAATTGCTTCTGAGCTGGAAGATGGCTTTGGTATCTTATACAGGGCTTTGCACAGCTCCAGCTGCATTTGTAAATATCAATGTGATGCTCTAGGGATGCTTTTTGCAAATAGAATTAAAGTGTGCATCTTGAATTTATAATGGAAGGATAATTTATACAGTAGGATCACTTCTCAGTAAAAGAGTTGCTCTTTAATAAATACTGACAGCACTAATATTGCTGACAAAGGTGTGTGTATCCTGGCAGTTTTTGCTTCCTTGAGTTTTTTAAGCCCTTTGCGGATTGTGTGATACTAAATTAATTGGTAAAGAACAACAAGATCACTTCATGTTACAGTGATATGAGAATAAGGAAGTGGTAATAACAGATGGATGGATAAAGATAGAAGTCTGTAATTGTAAATTGGTGAAATGTATTGCATGTAAGCTCTGATTAGAAGCTGTAGTCTCCTGGAAATTGAGTTAGACTTATAACAATCCTTGGCATTGTTATTTTGATATTGAATTTATGATTGCTTTCTGTGCAGCACATTTCTGCTTGGAACAGTGATGTCCTTTGGAAGCTGCCAGGAAAGTGTGCAGCTGTGGTCACTGAATGTGACAGTATTGATTTTCATATTTACTCTGTGCTTGACAGGCAAAGAAACTCAAAGCATTCAAGGGGGACACAAGTAAACTGACCCTGGTGGATTCATTTATGTACCTTTTATTACAGGTGCCAAGGTAAGATGCACAGTGAATTTCAGATATTTTTCTCATTAATGTACAGTAGGCTTAAAATTAATTACATTAATTTGATTTTGCTTCTATTGTTTAGTTTTGATCTTCGAATTGAAGCCATGGTGCTAAAGGAAGAGTTCGTTCCAACCTGCTCTGTGTTGAACAATGATATTGATGTCATTCGTATGGCCACAAAAGGTAATTAAATCCCTCAGCCTGGAGAAGTCTCAAACATGTTTATCTACAGGAGAGCACCTGGTAATATCCTAACATTGACATGTATGGTCCGGGGCAAGTGGTCCAGTGCTTTTGTTATAAACATTACAAACAATTCAGGGTGTGAAGTTGATTATAGCTCCCTGTTCAAAAAACACAGTTTGAGTGTAAGAAGACTATGCTATGTGAATTAGACATTGTCATTTCCTGTATTTCACACTATAATTTAAGGCTATAGGCCAACAAAATCAAGTTATAAATCCCCTGTCTCCTCAAAACACCCTCAATCATCTCAGTCAATTTGATTTGTACAGTACCTACAGTATACTACCTCAAAAACGTTGGTTTCTGCTACAGAATACTTTTCCTGACAGTATAAGCTTATGTCACAGTAAATTGACTACCATTCATATTCACTGTTTATGAATCAGAAAAGGGCACAATGAGACTGGTATTTCAGCATTCTAAAGTGTCTTGTGTTTTCTGACTACCTGTTACTCCAAATAGAACAGAGACTAATGAACGACTATGGTTTGTCCATTAGACTGTAGAAGAGGAAGGCCATGAGTTATATGACATCATCTAATTTGCTAATTTGCTAATCGGTCACACTAAGCTCCCCTTGAACCCCGCCACACTATGAAGGGACAATTCAGAGCAGCCGATACAAATTTCTCCTGTCTGTCTTGGGAGGGGAGAGGAACCCAGAGAGACCCACACAAATACAGGGATCCCAAGCTGGAATCAAATCCAGGATCCAATGGACGAGTGATCACAAACTCAACAAACCACCAAACAATGTGAACTTATGTGTAAAAAATCTTGAAATTAAATTCAGTGCAAGGCATGTGTAAATAAATCATTTTTAAGTCATTTTAAAAAACAATGAAAATCAAAATTGTCACCCTGAACATTCAGTTAATAAAATGATTAAAACAATCCATAATTAATAATTGGCTAAAAACCTAAGTAAGGAAAAAACAATTTCTAATGTTACTTATGAGACTTTTTTATAAGTATCATTTAAAAGGCTCTCAGTAAAAGGACCAGAAATAACTGTGCAATATAGTTGCTTCCTTGGACAAGTGACTCACTACCCATCACTAACAGCAATTTTCACTTCACATCTTGCATAAAATTGATCAACTTTAACAAGCATCTATTTTAAAAGGTGAATTTTAATACTACTGTATTAATACCAATTAATTAATACAGTATATGTAAATGTTTCCGTTCAGGATTATAACCCACTGTTTGGGTGAGGACCCAGAAAACATTCCCCTTATTTTCATATTTTCGATGGAGAAATAGTTTGTAATTTGCACAGCATTTTTCAAGGACACGCATGTTGTATAAATCGAGAACTACCTGTACCAGGATGTAGATCTACACAATAAATCATTCAGCCTTGTGGAGCACCAAATAGAAAAACAAAAACATGTAACTCTTAGCTGGAAAGGTTTTGTTGTTTGGACTGTTTTTGAGCACAACCCATGTTTTTACAGTTGCAAGAAAAAGTTTGTGAACCCTTTAGAATTATCTGGATTTCTGCATTAATTACTCATAAAAATTAAGTTACAATAATAGACAAACACAAGCTGCTTAAACTAATAACACACAAACAATTGTCCTTCTTGCCAATATTGAACATATCCTTTAAACTTTCACAGTCCAGGCTGGAAAAAGTATGTGAACCCTTGTATTTAGTTACTGGTAGAACCTCCTTTAGCAGCAGTAACCTCCACCAAACATTTCCTGCAGCTGCTGATGAGACTTGCACAATGGCTAGGAGGGATTTTAGACCATTCCTCCTTACAAAACTGTTCCAGTTCACTGAGATTTCTGGGATTCCTTTCATGAACAGCTCCCTTCAGGTCATGCCACAGCATCTCAATTGGGTTGAGATCTGGAACATCCATGTGGTCTTTTGCAAACATGAGACATGCAGCAATGTTTTTTTTAGAGAGCAGTGGTTTTGTCACGATCGCAAACTCCTCCTCTTAAGGGCGCTCCACCCCTTCCTCATTTGCATAACTCCCGCAACCTGTTCCTTGTTTCTCTCTGGTTCAGTTCGCCTTTATAAGCCAGGCGCGCACCTTACTCGTGGCTCTGCATCTGATCCCTGTATCGTGCGAGCCCGGGACCTGGTTGTGCCTGGCTCCGTTACGTTTTTAACTTCCTGCTCCTGTCCTTGTTCCCCCCACCAGTCCCGATCCGGCACCGGATTTTAATCTCCTGTTTGGACGGATTTCCCAGCCTTGGACCTTTTGCTTTCGTTTTTGGATTTCCCCTTTTGGATTTATTCTGGACTGTTCGCCTTGGCCACACCTCCCCGGATCACCAGCACCGTATGAACACGCCCCCCCCCCGTTCATCCCTGTTCCTTCATGACTTTTCCCTAGTGTATTCCTTCCTCAATATTCTGGATTGTGTCATCCGCATAGGGTCCTGAAAGAACTGTTTGTTACAGGTTTCCTCCATGCAGTCCTTCCATTAACACCATTCTTGTTCATTGTTTTTCTTATAATGGACACATGAACAGAGACTTTGGCAAGTTCAAGAGATTTCTGAAGGTCCTTTGCTGTTACCCTTAGGTTCTTTGTCACCTCCTTTAGCATTGCACGCTGCACTCTTGCCATGATCTTTGCAGGACGCCCACTCATAGGGAGAGGAGCAACAGTACTGAATTTCCTCCATTTGTAGACAATTTGTCTTTCTGTGGCTTGATGAACACCCAGGCCTTTAGAAATGCTTTTTTAGCTTTTTCAAGCTTTATGCATCTCTACAATTCTTCTTCTAAGGTCCTCTGAGATTTCTTTTGATCAGGGAATGGTTCATATGAACAGCTCTTTCTTGAGAAGAGCAGACTCTATCAGTAACCAACCTTTGTGTGCCTTTTTCATAGGGCAGGGCATCTCCAATCTCATCTCATTGATTGGAACACCTGACTCCAATTAGCTTTTGGAGAAGTCATTAGCCTAGAGGTTCACATACTTTTTCCAACCTAGACCGAATGTTTAAATGATGTGTTCAGTACAATTGTTTGTGTTATTAGTTTAAGCAGATTGTGTTTGTCTATTATTGTGACTTAGTTGAAGATCAGACCACATTTGCATGAGTAACTAATGCAGAAATCCAGGTAATTCCAAAGGGTTCACAAACTTTTTCTTGCAACTGTATGTTTAATTACAGAAAGGTGTATCACAATCAGGCATTTGTAATTTGTAATTTTTTACATATATATCAAATTAAAACTTGAAAGAAGCTTGCAATGTTAATAACTTCATGTAGTCCAGTATCTCATCCAAGGTGCTGAACGTTCTATTTGAAACCAGACTTATCCTGTTATAATCCAAGTAAGAAATTCCAAACTGTGAATTTAAGTGTGATGTCCTTTACGTCATGTTTAGAGCTGTTTCACATGCAAAATTAATAAACTCTTAACACCTTTAAATACCATCCTCAATACGAGGGTGTTATCAGTAATTTATGTGAACAAGCTAATAACTGACATTGGAAAAAAATAGCTTAGGTACGGTATGGTGAAATGGTGGCACCAAGGTAGAAATACCTTGGTGCCACCATTTCACCATACCGTACCTAAGCTATTTTTTTACCATGTCAGTTATAAGCTTGTTCACAGAAATGGCTGCTGCCAGACCTGATAACACCCTCATATTGAGGTTTATATCTGTGGGGCTTCAATATATTCAACAAATTACAAACATATTGTATATCACAGCACTGGTTATGTGAATAGGAAGGACATCGACTGCTTTACAAATATTTTATGAATACGAATTTTAGATTTTTCAAAATGTTCCCAAATTAATACTTGCTATATTTCCTGTACATTGGTGGATAATAACACAATATTTTTTTTTTTTAAAGAATTTAAGTTGAAGTTCTTTAGTCCAACAAACATGTGCCGCTAGATTTATCAGTAATACTTTCAAAAATTGGTCTGTTTTTCTCAAAATCCTACTCCCAGTGTTTTTACAGTTATTGTGTTTTTCAATGACTCAGTTATCCAAGACCCACCTCTAATTTATTCACAGGATTAAGGACTGAAACCTCTATCCAGAGAAGCAGAAATTGACCATTTGTAAATAAAACATTGCTTAAGCTATAAATCTAATGTGCTGTATATCATTACTTTTATAACCCAATCCCACTTTAAATGACTTTTTGCAGAACTCATGACATGTGAAGAGCTACATGCTATTCTACACTTAGTGCTCCAGGCTGGAAACATCATGAATGCAGTAAGTGGCAACTGACATACAGTACTGCACCTCAAATTTAAACTCAGAATTGTCTGTTTTGTACTGTAACTGTGTGTCCGGTGTAATTTACCCTCAATGTCTGTTTAGGGGGGCTATGCTGGCAATGCAGTAGGCTTCAAGCTCTCATCCTTACTCAAGCTTGCAGACACGAGGGCCAACAAGCCAGGGATGAACCTTCTACACTTTGTTGCACTGGTATGTAACTTTTCTGGGCTGAAACAAGCCTTCATTTAGTGTCCTATGAGGCCAGTTTTAGGTTACATTTAGAGTTTATAACAGAAGTTCAGGAGGAAAGTTAGATCCTCATCTCATGCATTTCTGCTTGCCTACGTATACAAGTCTCACACCCAGGTCTTCCCTTCGCAAATCCGTCTCTCGTCCCCCCTCCCCAACACCCCATCTACTGTACATCCATGCAGCCACTCCTTAGCTCAACCATCGCAGCACTGAGAGGGGGTTTGTGCAGACTGTCCTGCCTCAAATAGGCTGCCTTTCCCTCAACTAGATGAGTCACACCATGTATATCCCATCTCTCTATCTCATTCATTGAAATTTAACCAAACTCATAGTATGCGCAGTCAGGTTTGAAACTAACTTGAAATTGGTTAACCACAAAGGCTGGAGCCAACAAGTTAAAGAAGACTATTTGTTGAAAATAATTTTAATTCTTTTGATTTTGAGATTCAGGTGTTTGTCCCTTTTCTAAATGTCATGCTACAAAAACTGAAATGTGTTAAGAAATATAAACTCTAAATTTGTAGTTGTGCATTTATTTCCATTGTGTAAGCCCATTATTTCATAATATGTATCTGGACTAAAACCTCTAAAATATTTTTGCGCACGGCATATACAACAGTGAAGAACTGCAAATGCCTGGCTAGTTTGTCTCAACATTGCTCTGCTTTTGAGGATTTGGATGTACAAATAAGAAATTGTGTAGGTGGGGAAAAAACACGCCTGAGAGCAAAGCTGTTTCCCACACATGCAAATGAAGCGTTTTTCTTCCGCACTCAGTAATTGTTTTCTGTTTTCTACAAACAGGAAGCGCAGAAGAAAGATGAGACCCTGCTGAAATTCCCAGAAAAGCTGCAGCATGTTCAGAGTGCAGCCCGGTAAAGCCAGCTCCCTTCCTTACTGGATTAATATGAGAAAGACACTTCACATAGGGTGACTTAAAGTAGAGCTGAGATAGAGACCTTTATTACCACAGATGCTGGCTACTCTCTACTGTACTTCAGAGATGTTTTTTTTCTGCAACATTCAGTGTTTTGCAAGGCCATTACTGCAAAACAAGACTCCTCATAATTTGATGATCTTTCACTGGATACACAAGGGCTTAACAGTTTATGTTAGTTATGCAACATACAGTACATAATAACTCCCTTTTTAGTACTGGCCTCTAAGCTTGCATTTTCTAGCATGCGTAAGTCAAATGCAAAAATAACCCCCCCCAGGATATATCCTTTTTAAACAAAGTCGCGTAGGTGTTAAATAGATTCTACGAATAGATGTTTAGTTCTAGAGCTTAAGTTTTGTATTATATTAGATTTCTGAGATCATTTAAAATACTAAGTCATGTAAATGTTTAATGTATAATTGTTGTATTTTGACTGATTTACAGAATATCAGTGGAAAACATTGAAGTGGAGTTGCAGTCATTGTCCACAAGAACTAAATCACTTGAAGAAAACATTCAACATGATACAGAGCTGTTGCAGCAGTTGGATGAGTTTCTACAGGTGAATACAAAACACACAACCACACTGGGTTTCACCTATAAACATTGGCACCACTGACGAAGCAAACAATGCATTAATTGTGTATCTCAAAAATTATTGTAATGGATAAAAGTAATGAATAACCATCTTCCTTATCTTTAATCTGCTTTGTAAGTCTTCTTGTTTGCCTCACAATCTTATGTTTGACCTTCATACCATCAACTACCCTATTTGTTTGGGATAATTATAGTAATTCAATGATTATATTTTTCTCTGGACTGGAATTGTGTTGTGCTGTGGCCGAAAGATGTTAGCATGGAATTTGAGTCTACACCTGTCAACCCCCTAAAATTGAAAACAAATCCTTTAACGTGTGAAGGTGTAAGGGGTTCCTTAAAAGGACATGAATATACCCCTCTTTCGATCCATGCGAGTTGCACAAGTGCCTACCCATGCATCGTCTCCAGTTCTTCTACAGATGTTGGCATCCCTGGCTTGATGAGAGGTGTGTGAGTTGTGTTTGGTTCCCAGCTCATTGTGCTGTCTTGCTGAAGAAGCTGTGCCATTGTTTTTGCTCCAGAGTTCAGAGCAAACCCTGCAGGACCTGAAGAGGCACCAGCTGGAACTGCGCAAGGAAGGGAATGCTCTCATCGATTTCTTCTGTGAAGACAAAGAGACTTTTAAACTGGACGAGTGCTTCAAGATATTCCAGGATTTCTGTCTCAAATTCAAAAAGGCTGTTAAGGTAGATAGCTGGGAAGGTGTTTTCTCCTTTCTTGTGTTTTGACAGGCAAAAAATAATTGCATTTTTTAGTTTGTTTGTTCCATTAATATTACTATTAATGTGCAGGAATATACAGTATATAGATGTTATGGTTCCAACAGGTTGACTTGGTTAGGAATACATTGTGTTGATAAAAAGTATCAAAGCCCTGAACTTAAATCAATTGTTTTTTTAAACATACTTAATTATGCATGGGTTTTTTAGCATTTCACAAGAAATAACAGCATTCAAGAATCAGGTTTGGTAATAATTATTGAGCATTTTAAGTGGAATATATTTTTGTCTTAACCTGTTTTGTACAGGGGCAGCCGCCTGGCTATAGGACAAAAATTGTCTTGTTTGTCATTATCCCTCCATTCTTCCATTGAACTCCATAGGTTCAGTTTAAATAAAACTTCTGTTGACAGTGTGACACTAATAAAATAAAAAGTAAGAATATCGAACCATTTGACAGGATCATGCAGGTGCCAAAACGAGTATTCTATATAGTACAAAATAAACACAGGGGCTGGTTTTACTTCTCATGCAGGAAAAGAGTCTGAGGATCTGAGGAAGGTCATAATTGGATCCTAAAAACAGTTTAACATATAGGAGGGGATCCATTTCATCCACCACAGGCGTGCCCCAATGATTCACCTCTCACTCTGTGCATACCAGTGAATCTTTACACCTCCTCCTCCAGCACTCTGTGTCTTCTGTACACCTCTCTCTATATTGTGTACTTTGTACTCTTCTTTATATAGTGTGTGCCATCATGCATCTTTCTATACTGTATATTCAGTACTTTGTTTATCTGTAAATCTGTTTATTTGTACCTTTGTGTATCTGTACATATATTATGTATGTCATTTCACCCTTTTGTATTGTGCTGACTTATACACACCTCCATGCTCCGTATTGTCTACTGCCTAGGACTTCAGGACTTTTTTATTGCGTAGAGGATGTCATAAAAATGAGCAGCCCCCCCTTTGCTACAGTATGTGATCTACTCTGAGGTCCTTATTACTTATTGTACTGCCATAAAGAGGCAAGAAGGAGGAAGTTATACGTTATGTGCTGTGGATGTGGCAGTCTGGTTATTATTATTTTTATTACATGGGGCACCTATTCCAAAACATGTCAAAGGACTCAAGGTCTTTTAACTTTGATTATACGGCAAGTTTGTTTTATGACCTTATAATATAAAGAATATAAAAAAGATGGGAGATAATAAGAGCCGTATTTCAGTTGCTTATCTGCCTGAAGCTTACATTGTGATGTTGTGGCCAGTATTCACAGTTGCAAAACCTGTGGGAAGAAGCTTCTCCTGCAGGATGGCCATGATCCTTGTGTTACAGTATGTGTTTGGGTCCAGTGACCATGTCGTGAATGTGCTAGAGGACAATATGTAACATGACAAGTTTCTGGCTGAGTGACAGCACAGCATCCTTGCTCTCAGGCTTGGGCATCCAGGTTCTGGTTACACTTATGCCAGCATTTTCTAGAAGGCCACGCAACAGTTCGTGAGAGAGCCACCCTATATTTATTATAATAATAATAATAATAATTGCTTACACTTATATAGCGCTTTTCTGGACACTCCACTGAAAGCGATTTACAGGTAATGAGGACTCCCCTCCACCACCACCAATATGCAGCCCCACCCGGATGATGCAACGGCAGCCATAGTGCACCAGAACGCTCACCACACATCAGCTATTAGTGGGGAGGAGAGCAGAGTAATGAAGCCAATTCATAGATGGGGATTTTTAGGAGGCCATTATTGGTAAGGGCCAATGGGAAATTTGGCCAGGACGCCGGGGTTACACCCCTACTCTTTTCGAGATACACCCTGGGATTTTTAATGACCACAGAGAGTCAGGACCTCGGCTTTACGTCTCATACAGTATAGTATCCCCATCACTATACTGGGGCATTAGGACCCACATGGACCGCAAAGTGAGGAGTGCCCCCTGCTGGCCCCACTAATACCTCTTCTAGCAGCAATCTTAGTTTTTCCCAGGAGGTCTCCCTTCCAGGTACTGACCAGGCTCACACCTGCTTTTTCAAGCCTCTCCATCCAATTCAGGTTGGGGGGCCACGGAGCCTAACCCTGCTTGCTGGGGCCTGTTGTCTCAGAAGCCAGTTAGTCTATGAGTCTTTGGACTGAGGGAGGAAACCCGAGCCTTATCTCTCCTCGTGGTTGTGTTTGCTATCAGCTGTAACTGTTCTCTTGGCAGCGTTGAAATAAATGCAGTCTCCTGCCCCTGAGGGTAGAGATCTTCCATTAGGTGGTGGTGGCTTTGTTCTTTCAGGGGACCAGGGTACAAGGAGTAGCCTGCGCACTATGGTCCTGTGCACTCACGTGTCTCCTTCTCCCTGCAGGATAACCTCGAGCGGGACCTGAAGGAGGCTGCCAGACAGAGGAGGCTGCGGGAGCTGGAGGAGAAGCGTCACTCGTGGGCAGGCGGGGAGCGTGGCGGAGGTTTCGGTCGCAGCAGCAGTGAGAATGATGTGGAAATGCTGACCAAAGAAGGCCTGCTGGACTTCCTGCAGCAGCGGCCTTACAGCCCGCTGGCCCGCTCCTCTAGCGTCAAGCGTTCCAGGCACTCTCTGGCGGTCATGGCCGACCGGGAGCTCCGCAGCTTCCTGGAGGGGTCCAGCGCAGAGGATCCCACTAAGTTTAACAGCCTTCCAAGAGCCTCCAGTCGCCTTGCTAGGAAGAGCACAGCCTGGATGGATTCCCAGGATGACAATCGCGAACTGGGTGTGAAAAGCCAACACTTACATGGGAAGGAAGTTACAACCCCGTGTGCAGACAAGGAATCTACTCCCCAGATTCCTGCTGTTGCATTTAATGGGAATTCAAATATCAATGAAGATCCGATTTTGAACAGTAACAATAATTATGCTACTGTTTCAGAAAGTCTTGGTGTGAACAGAAATGGCCTAAACAAGAATGTATTTCAGAAAACAAAAGGCATCAGTTGTGGGCAAATTAATGTCAGCGTGACCAAGCACACTTTGGTCCAAGGACTTCAAGCATTTGACCTTGTCACTCCAAACAACAATAATATGCACTTTGTAAATCAAGGAGATGTTGTTGTGACTGATTTAGAAATAGACAAAGATGCGTCAAAGATTCCTGATGATGCCCCTCCTTCTACTAAGAGCTCCCCCAGTACAGAGTCTGATTGGAAAATGGAATCATCCCAGTTTACAGCCTCTTCTAAAAAAGAAGAGGAGGACAATAGCACTGTTTCATCAACCACATGTGATACACCTCTGCCTTTAGATAATTTGGTATCCAACAAGAGACCAATTTTTTACATTGTTGATCGCACAGAAACAGACTGTTCTGTAACCTTTGACTACTCTGAAATCTGTGATGATTCTCTTGCTTTTAAGGAAGGCAATGAGTATGACTGCCAGGCCCTGGGTCCTGGTAAGGAAAATCTGAAAGATCAGAGTTCACTTTCTCTCAACCTGGAATCGGAATCTACAAATGATCCGTCAATTTCTATCACACACTCTGCCACCACTGAAGAGGGAGCATCTGACAGCTGTGAGGCAGCTGAAGAAAAGAAAGATGAGAAAACTGTAGATGTTAGCAGCAGCAAAACAGGACCTTTGAAAACAAAGCCAACGTCAAAACTGCCAGCTACTCGAAGCAGCGGAACCGGACGATCTGTAAGAATGCTAACTGCTTCAGAGAGCCAAAATTTGCGGAAAGTGGTGCCGATTTCACGAGTGAGCAGGTTAGGTAGTTCTGTTAAGAAAACTGAGAAGCTGTCAGCCCGTGAGAGCAGCAGTTCTGAAACAAGGCACCCACAGCGGGACCAGAGCACCCCAGTTAGAAAATTGGAGCACACCCCCAGGACTCCTCGGCGTTCCAGCCTTCCTGCTGAGGACCCCAAAGTTCAGAAAGGGACCCCAGCCACAGCCAGCATCGGTAGAGCCCGGGAACAAACACGCACCCCCTCAGTGAAAAAGCCCAGTGCCAAACCTGTAAGGAACATTCCCAAGCCCAAGCCTGAGGAGAAAATGTGTCGTTCTACTATGAGAGCCCTGGCCCAGGCACAGGCAGCCTCTGCAGGAAGTGCGCCTCAGACTCCCACTCACAATGGCAAGGCCCTGGCTAGCACCCCCAGCTTCGCACGGAACACAGTGGCCTCCTCCTCCAGGAGGATGAAAAAGGACCTGGCCCCAAATTCAAACCCCACAACACCTTCCAAAACTGCCACTCCCACCAGGACGGGGTCTCAGAGGCAACCTGTGAGCAAGGCCGTGACTGAAAATACCCCCCTCACACCAAGGGATGAAGAAAACACCCAGGGCACACTGAGGAGAGTACAGAGTGTCCGAGTGTCCAACAGGAACCCCCATCGCAGTGAGACACCACCTCCCAAAAGAGAGCAGTCCCGCAAAGGTAGCAGCTTTTCCGAGAAGTCGGTGGTCCAGTCTAAAGACTTGAGCAGGATATCCACAGGCAAATCTCTAAAACCTACATGGAAGTAGAATGTGAACTCTTTCTTTTTTTTTAGAGCTTGTTTATGTTTTTTTTAATTCACTTTTCTGCTTCTTGCCATAATATTACATAGTTTTACTTGATCATGGCCTTAACAGGAAAGAACTTTAGAGTGGCATTGTCCTTAGATAGCTAATTAGCCCAGCTTTTTTTAAGACTGTTTCATTATGACTGCAGCCATGATAAGTTCAAAACTGACATTGCATCTTAAAGGACAATTAAAAATGAAAACGATGGCTTAGAACTGTGTGTAATGTTTGAGAATGTGTGTTAGAACTTCTAGGATTTTTCCAGTGAATATCGTGAAATACCCCAGTCTTTCCAAGGAAAGGAACTGGCAAATGACTAGTCTTTTCCAAGGAACCTTTACACTTGCTTTAACATTGTTTTTATTAATTTAACGAAGTGTAAATACTACTGAACATGTCATGATGCTGCTGATCTGCTCACTTGGATGAAATAAGCTGTATGAAAGGAGTTCATTCATCTTAGGAGCTCTTGAAATGTTGTTATGCTGCTCTGTGTTGGTGACTTCCTCTGTTCTTAAAGTGGTTTTAGCGCTAAAGATAAATACTTTGCAAAGCCATATAACCTTCAGTGGCATCATTCTCTCTGAAGATCACATATTATGGCTGTCTTACTTTGGGCTTTGTATAACTGCTGCTTGAAGAGGGTCAGGCAATTTTAATGTTAGGAACGCATCCATTTTAAAGTGGATAAGACAGACACATTATAGTAGATATTTTCTGGAATATGCTTGTGCTGCATATTTAAAAAGGACTGTATAGATCTGCATTGAAGTAACATTTTTGTGTTGTTTCCATATAAAAAATACTCCTTATAATTTCAACTTAATTGCCTGATATACAAGTCTGATTAGCATAGTATTCCCCTTTTCTTTCCAGACTAATGCTTGTCAGAACTTTGTTAGCTGTTCGATTACATTCAATTTGCCCAGAGGTTTTTTGGAATACTGATCAAAATACTGAATTGTAATGTTTGTGACACCACTGGCCTTTTTAACATGCCTGTGCCAAATGGAAAAAAACATGCTGTTAGTGAGGAGAAAAGTCCACCATTCTCTGCATTACACCCTCTCTAGAAGACCAAAGCAGATGGTGGGTTAGATATTTTTAGCACATGGGGAACATCTTCCTAGCATTCCATGGCATCTGAACCAGGCTTGAATGACTACTGCAGCGTCACCTGAAGTACACAGAGATGACATAAGTAAATAGATTAGGCTTGCAAGAGTCTGTATTTATTTTGTTAAGTGTGCATAACTTTGCTAAAGTATGATAGGGTATAATATGCTTACATATTCTGAAAATAAGGTCGGTTGGTTTCTAGCCTTGAAGCCCCAGTATGAAGAATGTACAGGGGGGGGACCCAAGCAATTGGTTAAATTAGGCCGGTTCCGAGGATATCCATTTCAGATAGCCAACACAATGAGAATCCACAACAGTGGATTAGTGGGTGGGACTAACCCAGCCATGGCAGACGTCTTCCTCCTTTTCCCTTTTAGACTTGCAGTCACCTTATTAGCAGTCAACAATGGGTTATCCTTTGCCTTAGAGATTTTATCTGTTTAATTTGACCAATGTCCCATTAGCTAACTATGCACCCCCTTCATCATTTTTCCTAGACCTGCTGTTTATGGCATGGCTGTTCAAGAACTAATGTATTATCCTCTGGTCTGTATGCGTATTTTGTGGCGATATACTGTTATTGTTCCTAGATATTGTCACTATAATAGCCAACATGAAATCTCAGGTGGTGTCTGTTCACTTATATCAAGTACAGTTTAAGCCTTATTGCTGTAACCTATTTCCAAATATTTTTTCTAAGATTCAGAACTTCTGCAACTGAATGGCTTTATTTACAGTAAGATAACCTTAAATATTCCCATTTGTAATAGTCTAGCCTGCTAACAATATTGGTTGTACCGTGGTATACTGTATTTATATTAAATCCATTTATTTAAAATGTATTTTGCATTATAAACTGATTATGTACAGTACTCTTTATATGAAATGTTTTCTTTCAAAGTTTCAGAAAATGTTTATTTTTGGAAACCTGAAAAGGTTTATATTTGGAAACAAATGTCCCAATTTATTGAACCTGTTCTAAGTGTGCAAACCATTGTGTATTTTACTACATACTAGCAAAACTTTTTTACTGATAACTTTGTGAATCTTCCGGATCTGTCAATACTATTAAATGTGCGAGAATTAATTGATCACTGTCAGGCTTGCCTGCATTACTCTGAGACAGCAGTGACATTGAATATCAGTAATAATCATCTGTATGTGAATAATCTTGAATGATTAGTGTACCGTGCAATTATTAAATCAAAATGCATGCTACAGTTACAACCTTTATTGATACTGTACTCTTTTCTTCCTCTGTTTCTTCTAATATTTAAAAGTAACTCCAGTGGCATTTGATACTTTTTCCCTGGACAATTACACTTCATTTTGGTCTAGTATTGCAGATTGTCATCTCTTGATGACTTGATTGTAGAAAATGGGATACCCGAGACGTGCCTGAAGGAAGTATAGTATATTCCAGTGCTCTAAATATATGATGTATGAAGTTTAACTGTTCTGCCCTTTGTACAGTAGTATTGTAGGGTATGTCCTTGAGCTCTGAGAGGACTACTGTTTCTGGCTCTTCATAATTAAATCTGAGGTTCTTATCAGGTATTTTGCTGTTTCATCATAAATGAAACCTCACTAGTATAGCGGTGCCCTATATTCTCTTGATCAACTGTCAAGAATCATTCAAGTTATAATGAAAAGAAAATCCCTTGTTTAAAATTCTAGGTGAATACAGACATACAAAGCTCTGCATCTGCCCTCATATCACTCTTCAGCTTCCATGACAACCTCTTCTACCAGTATGACATTTCCAGCTCAGTTAGGTCGCTTTCAGACAGATCCTAGCAATTTCAGTGACTGATGGTCGTTTGATCTGGCCTGAAGGCTGGGAGATTCTGCTGTCTTGTCTCAGTTATCAATAGTAGAACTACTCTCAGAATATGATATGGTAGTTGAAAATGCTAATACCCCCCATTGCTTTATGTTCAGTTGCTTGATTTCTGGATTAAGAAAAAGTAATAAAAATGAAAAATAATCTTCCTAATTCATGGTACATACATTTGAATGTTATTTTATTTACAGGGGATCAGTACAGTGAGCTTCTAGGTGTTGGCATTTGATAAGATAAATATTTTAATAACCAAGACAATTGTATCAGACAAAGAAATACATTTAAAAATGGAAAAACAATGTGGCTGTAAGGGGTCTTGTAAATTGACAATGTATTATCATGTCTCAGATATAATTCTGAGGATTAGATATTTGGCTACAAGGTGTTCTTTTCTTCAACTGCAGAAAAGAGTGATAAAGCACTCACTGGTATGATTTAGGTATTATGGCAATCTAAATATTGGTGTTCAGATCTGTACTTCATCAAGGGGATAGACAATCAGACCTGTGATTGTTAAATGTATACCATGTCTTTGATTGTGATGTAGGTAAAGGAAATACCAGTACTGGACATTTATATTTAATCAGCAAGTTGTTAACCTATTAAAGCTTTTCTGAACATATCATCATTTTAAGTCCTTTCTCTGTGAATGAACATCACTGTGTATTTTCAAGGTGAAGTGTGTGTGACCTGCTTTTAATCTCCATTTTTGTATGCAGCTGAAGATCAGATTTAAATGGCATTATCACAATGTTTTCTTCCTACGAGTGAGAGGTGTCCTTATGAAACAGAAACTCTGTGTATGGCATGTAGATGTTTGCACGCAGCAGAATAACTTGTGTGGATAATAAAATGTTACAACAGCTGGGGAAGCATTAGATTGTGGCTGTGGTTTATTGACAGCAAGTGGTACATTAACAGCTTTGTGCTAAATTGATCTCTTGGATCATTTTTTAAATTGATTTTGTTCTGTTTTTTAGGAACAGCGTCCATCAGCTTTCATGTTTTTACTGCAAATAAATTAAATCAATAAATCACAGCAAGGAGAGAGAAAATCTAGATTTACACATTGGTATTGGAAAAAGCAGGTAAAAATGGCCCAAATATAAATGCCTTTTATCAATGCATTTCTAGTGGGATTTTAAAAAAATTCTATATTGTAAGTTGCAATTAAACACAATATTTCCAACAACATTAAAGGAAGAAGGAGGATGTTGTCTAATGTATAAGATGTACATCATTTGTGCTATTTAATAAGAAATGGCACTGAGCATCAAGGATGATGAACATTATTGTGTTCTGCAAAACATTGTGACATATAGTGTCCTTCAAATGTATAGAGACAGTCAAAACTATTTTTTTCTTTATAGGCAAGCAATTTGTGTGTGATCATGAGATTAATTTTAATGATAATAACTCTCTAAAATGCACTTTTGGTAAGTCCATTTATACACTTGATCATATTAAAACAAAAATATAATATGTTCTCTATCCCGTGTTTTCAAGTGACCCTAAGTATTAGCAAGTATTAACATATTCACTAAGTACATTTTAGTGGTAACATTCAGTCTTTGATATTGACTTTTTTTTACTATTTTTGAGGTGTGCTAACTATTTTTTTCCTCAGCATTTAAAATATGTACTGTATTTGAAGATTAGCCAGTCTAAGATTTTCTTTCTCTCCTGTTCACCTCATTAGTTGCATTAGCCATTTGTCATTTCGATGCTGCACGGTGTATGAAAGCATTTGCTTCTACATACAGAAAGCAGGCTGCATATTTAGGTACACTTCATGATTCACTCTGCTAATGTCACCATTATTTACATTGTCAATAAAGATGAGTAAGCCACTCCTGAGGTCATGACATTACCTCCACCATGCCTCACAGAGGAGGTGGTATTCTTTGACGCAACTGCAGTTCCTTTCTAATGACCCAACAACAAACACCTGACCAACAAGAGACAACTTTGGCATTGTCATTTTCCCTAATAGAAAATGAAGAGGTTCAACGCTATCAGTTTGGTTGACCCAAGAGGTACGTATAACTGAAGTAACTTTGTAACTATTCATTTCATAGTGAAAGTAACAGTTTTGACTTCACTATCTTGTCACGATCGTCAACTCCTCCTCTTAAGGACACCCCAGCCCTGCCTTCTTTTTGCTTATCTCCCGCACCTGCCTCCGGTTCCAGCCCCCTGTGTTACATAAACCAGACGTTCCTGCCTATTGGGGCTCAGCTTTGGAACATGGACGCCCGGACGCCCGCCTACCCGCGAGTCCAGGAGCGACTCAACGGCATAGGCTTCACTACGGCGTCCTGATCATCTGGGTCCGGGATCAGGGAGCGTCTGGTCCCGTTACCCCCTTTTTAGTCCCCCGACCCTCCGCCAGATCCCACTCCGGTTTTTAACCCTGTTTGTCTGTCAGGATGGATTACCCGGTTTTGGACATTTGCTTCTTTCATGGATTTGCCTCGGACTCCCTTGGACTGTTTGCCTCGGCCACTCCTCCCCCGAACACCAGCGCAGCGTGGACACTGCGCTGTTTTCCCCTGTTTTCCTTCCGGCTCCTAGCATGCCTTTTTCCCCATGTTTTCTTCACTTGCCTCTGGATCGTGTTGTCTGCATAGGCCCAAAAAGAACGCTTCGTGACATATCTCAATACTTCTGGCAACAGTAATACTACTGTACTGTACAGCCTACATATGCATTACTCACTGTAATACATATGTAGGCTGGTAATTTCACATCCAAGCCACATCAGGTCATCAGTCAGAGCTTAGGGACTTGAACTCACAACCCACCACTACTGAGTGCAGAAACTTACCCACTACCAAGCTGCCATGTTGTATACTGTAAATGTATTATTAAAATGATTCCAAAATTGCTTCTGATATGTACTCACCAACTGGGATGGTTGCGAGAAAATCCACTCTGTGAGCTCAGAGTGAGTGCAGAATGTAAAGTCAGTGCAGTCCAAAATCATAGCAGAGGTCAAAGCTAGTTTATCATAAACAGTAATGTGGTCTTTCCAAAGAGTGGTCAAGAGCCCAGGCAAGTTTCTAAGTACATAAAGCTATTCAGGAAAAAGCACCAGGAAGGAAGTTGGGGTCAAATGAAACATTCAGAACTGGAAGATCAAATACTGAGAGAACAAAAATGCTGAGACTCAAGAGGAAAGAATGACTATGCATTCAACAGCCAGGATTTGATACCTGATGGAATGAGATGGGTTAATTGGCAACAGGCTTAGATAATCTGCCTTTACTTGTGCGCATTTCAGTATTACGGCTGCTTCAGACTGTGTAGTGACGTAGTTGGTGTGCATGGGGAATGCAGGTTAAGGAGCCACCCTTGGCATCCCAGCTACAGTACAAGGCATTTAAAACCATTTTATCTATAAACGTTTTTCATTTTCAAAGACTGAAATTGTCGATTGAAATTCATTTAGATGTTTTAAACTTACCTACTTACTAAAGTCTGAAATGGAATGTCAAAACTTTTAATTTAAAATTATAGGTAATTACAGTGGAAATACTGTGTTACTTCCGTGTTACATACACTTAAATAAAATGTCAATATTTAAATGTAGTGTCACATACTGTATAGAAAGAAATAAGTATACTTTATGCAAAAATTCAGATTTCCTTGAAATCACAACTTGAGTTTATTCAATGGTTTTTCAAAAGAAGAAAAGTCCTCACTATGGAACCAGAGCAATGAGTAAGAACAGAACAGGACGAACTTACTCATTACTGCAGCCACTTTGATTACCATAAAGGACAGTTAAGTTTCTTGCATCCTGGACACTCAGCAAACCGAACCCTGGCAACCAAATCCTCCTGGAATATCTCAATGGCTGCAGCAGAATGAGGTCTCCAATAGTCGTCTTCATGTCATTGGATCAAAGATTTCCTCTGTCCTGGTATGTGAGGGAGCTGGCATTCAATGGTTTCTCCACAAAGAAAATGCCACAAACAGGTCTTTTCTCTCCAGCACATGATCCAAGTCCATTGATATCCATTT